CGTATTGTAAACCACCAATTAAATCAACATAAATAATTTTTAGAATGTTATACACAGCATTTTAATACACAGCCAAAAGCATAATTTTTGGACAAACATTTCTTATCTTAATCTGCTTTTATATCAGCAAGAAAATAGAACAAAACCTTTATGTATAAGTTGGTTGTAATGGTTACGTCTGATGTATAATACAAAATGCAGAATTAAATTTGACGATTGAAACTTCAAGAAAGTGTTTTCCACGTCTTTTGAAATGTTTCAAACAGTGTTCTATACTAACGACTGCCAAAGTAAATCTCTTTCTTCTCTTTGCATCTAGCAATATCACTACTGACTGAGCCTCCAAACTTTACTTTTCAAACATTAAACTCTAATCGAACACTATTTTAGGAAGTACCATTGGCATTATTTTGCTAACAAGTATTACACGTAAAAAAAATTTAATTTTTGAGAGCAAGTTTACAATTTCTGGAAAAATTATAGTTTATACAAAAAAATGTACAACTTTACAGTATATTTTTCAGACCCGATTAACTTTATAAATAGTTCTTTATTGATCTAATAAATTTTATACATCGCTGGTACTTCATAAGTCATAATAATCATTAAAAAAAATTCCTTTTTTTTCTACCTGTTGCCAAACAAGATTGGCCAAATAAGATTAACAAGCAGTAAGGAATGATTAACAACAACATCATTGCTCTCTTTGTTAATTTCTTTCCCAATTAAAAAGAAGCAGCTTTGAAGAGGTAGGTGCGTTCCTTTACGCACAGCGAAAAAATGCTTTGCAAAGATACTGTTTTTAACCGACCCGTTATTGTTATTTTTATTATCAACAGCTTTGATTTTCATCATTTTGCAGTTGTTTTCTTTTTACCTTCGTTAAAATCTGTTTTATGGAGTAATTTTAGTATAATAAAGTCGTAAAAACAATATTTCTTGCAGCGAACGTTCTGTAGCAGTATACCAATGAACAGTTTTAGTTTTCAAGTAATACTCAACCGTAACAACATTCATCAAAGTAGCATCGTATTTTGCTTTTGTCTTACTTCAAGAAAATTGTTTTTCCTTAAAATGTC